TAAAGTTTGAATACTTTTTGAATGGGCAGAACATTTGGAGACTTGAGAAACTGATGCACCCCAAACTGTAAATCGATTGGTGCCACTTTAAAAGCCCCACTATGTACTTGTAGGTGGCTATAATTTAATGAAGTCATTTACAACTTTGAGTGTGTCTTTTCAGTTTTAGATACTTGTACCCAAGGACATGACTGCCAACACATTTGCATAAACAATGGTTCATTGTACATCTGCAAATGTCAAGGGGGATACATATTGAATGCAGATCAGAAAACATGCTCACGTAAGAACTTGTGATTTTTGACTTGATATGCATGTCCTTGACCGTGGTCGACTACAACCTTTTTGATATTATTGTATATGCTTTAGATTAAATGCAGAAGAGGCATAAATCTTTTGGCCATGGACTTGATAGATATCTGTTTTTAAATGTTGGCCAATTGTAAGCTTTACCAAGGAGGTTTGCTGTTGATGTTAGCTGTGTAGGTGTCTCTTTTCAGGTTCTGATGCATGTACCCAGGGACATGAGTGCCAACATATTTGTGTCAAAAATGGTGATTTTCACCTTTGCACATGTCATGATGGATATGTTTTGAATGAGGACCAGAAAACGTGCTCACGTAAGAACTTGAATTTAACTTTAACATTTGAAATGTATGTTGTGGTGCTTTGTTTCAATTTTCCTTTATAATCCATTATTTAGGTGCATGACTAAATATTGCAGAAGCCATTGTCTGTAGGGTTAAAATGTAGTATATGCTAGTGGAGTTTGTCAGAAACAACCACCATTGCTAACCAGTGAAAGAGTTAGGGTAAGGGTTAGGGTTGAATTTCAAGTGCTTGCTCACGTACAATGTGTCATGTTCCCTTCAAATTTCTTTCTGCGTACATTCGCAATATTTTATTATTTGGGTTATTGGGTTTAGCAGCAGCAGAGCTAAGAGAGGATCAGATTCAAGTCTAGGAGTCATCAATGAAAACCTCTTTAGACATAAAGTGTCAAACTGTCAAAGCCTTCTTGAAATGATTTTTATCTGAAGCAGTCATATCACAGTATTGCGATATGTCTCTTTTCAGGTTCTGATCCATGTGCTTAAATGGTCATGATTGCAGGAATTATGTGTAAAACCGTGATAAGTCATATATCTGCATGTGGTCGGGTGATGGGTATCTGAATCCAGACAAGGAAAAACATGCTCACGTAAGAACCCAGGACTTTAAGTTTTTACGAGTTGATGGACTGTTTAGAGTTTATTATTCGACCTCATTTCTAGATTCCATTGCTTCTAATGGCTCCCTTGATTAAGATTAAATTGAGCCATTTAAGAATGTCTAAGTTTTCATTTAGGCGTTCAAGAACACATTGTCCAGGGGGACTGACGCAACATATTTGGTCAGCCACTGATGGGACTCGTTTGTCTGCAAGTGTCGAAGGGATATGTGTTGAACTGCAGGACCAGAAAAACATGCTCACGTAGGAACTCTGACTTTATAAAAGGACGACATGATGGTTTTTGCCCACAGGGTTTTAGATTTCCCTAAAAAGTTATTTTCTTCCTTTGGTTACGTGGGATGGTCGAGACACCTTTCATATCCACCCCTCTAAGTGCAGGTGTTTGATACTTAAAGCAGTTTAGCTCATTGAAAAAACTCCTTCCCCATCGGGAATTCTAAAAAGTAGACCTACTTGACTCTGTCAGCTAAGTAGATGTTCAAAGGTTCTTTCAGGATGCCAGATACATGTTGGTCCCAGGACATATTGCCCAACAGATTGTGTTTCAACAGTGATGACGCATATATCTGCAAATGTATGTGGATATGTGTTGAATGCAGGACCAGAAAACATGCTCACGTAAGCATGATTGTTTCATATGTTATTTGTTCTGGGTTGACTCCAGCATCTCAAATACCGACCACAACGCCTGAAGCTTCAAAATAGGGGGTTCATCAGAGCTTGTTGTGGGCATTTTCAATCTTGTCAAAATAGACATAAAATTGGGAAGTGAAACCCTCTTTAATGTCACCAACAGCAAAGCAGAACAAGCCACACAGTCAATGTGGTTTGCCTGCTTTAAACCCATCCCTTAGTACCAGTAGTCTAGTTACTAAGGACAAATGGGGGCAGCTATTGTACAAGCAATGGGGAGTGGGTGGGGGGGTGGTGTCGGTGCCTTGTCAAGGTGCACCACGCTTATTTGTTGCAGTTTGAAAGGTTAGCTTTTAAACCCTGAGATATTGAGACTTGGAAATGTTGTACATTAATGGGCACGGAGGGGGCTGGATATGCATCCATTTTCTTTTGAGGGAACTGGGACCAAATGATCTTCAAACCAGCTAAGTGAGTATTGATGTCAAAAAGGAGTGTGAGCTTCTCTTTTCAGTTCATCTTCCAGATGCCATGTCCCCAAGGGACACAATTGCCAGCACATTTGTCCAAAATGGGAACTCTTACGATCGCCAGAGTGTCGGTGTATTGGGGTTACCATCTTAACCATGGATCAGAAAACATTGCTCACGTAAGAAACGTTTTTAATTTGTCCATGGATGAAGG